TAGAGGCAGAGGCAGAGGATGTAGAACTGATCATTGAACCCAGGAACTCATGCGTGCTAGGCAGAGGTGCTATCCCGAAGCCACATCTCCAGCCTTCAGTAGCTATCATCTGAACAATGGCAATTCAGTGATGGCATCTTCCATACAAGTGAAGCCATTTAGAACCCATCCCTTCTAGGTCCTTCTCTGACTTTTGTTCTTTTTGTCATCAATAGTAATTGCTGCTCCTAGGTTGGTTTTTTGAGAACGAGTGTCTCCTGGTTACCTGGTACTCCCCCCTTTCTAGTCTCCCTCAGCTAACTAACTTCTCTGCAATAATCACCCCTTAATTCTTCCTTCTTTCCAGACATCATAAAGGGAGGCTCCTTCTAGGAATTATTCCTAATTGCACAGTATTTTACAAACCCTCTCCTTCTGGTCACCCAGCTTTATCGAGTCAGCTTTTCCTTTCACTTTCTGAGCAGCAATAAAGACCCAAATTCAAATCTGCTGTCCATCTCTAAATAACCAAGTGACCTCAATCAACCTAACTCGGCTTAAGGAAGGCGCCATTATCTTTACTGGGGGAATGTAAACAGAACCGTGTGACAAGACTGCAGCAATAACTTCACAGCACAAGACATGTAAAGTCCTGAGCAACTGTGAGTGCTGTTTTCATGTCCCCCAAGTAGAAAGAAACAGTTAAGCCAATTCTCCATGACCGCATTATGACAAAATGACACCATGAATCCCTGTCCTGGGAGGAAGGATTGGACCAAGGTCTCTTAGGTGAGCATAAGCTATAATGTCACAATGCCATTCCTGTCATTAGTAAAGGGCAGTGTTTGAGACTGGTGATGCCATTGCCTGCATTAAGGCTGCCAGGCATACCCTGTAATGTAGGCTTACAAAGGGCTCCATGGTGCTATCTGCCATGCTCAGAGGATCTCAGAGGGGACACTGGGATCAGCTGGTCTCTGTTCTACCCAAATGAATCCCAGCTGGAAGCTCATAGACTATCAGAAATACCACGTGGCCTCTCATGTGTATTTGAGATCTCCACAGCCATTGTGTCTGTGCGCCACATGTGTCTCCTTCTCTCTTTGCCTCACTCTTCCTAGGCCAGTTGGAAATGCAGACATTCTCTCCTGGCGCTGGAGCTAAATGAGGCTGCCAACTGTGTACAGGTTTCTTTTCCGTGTGGCTCACCATCTGGAGTGGCACCCTGCCTTCCTTGTGGTAGTGTGCATATGTGTGTAACTGTGCACACATGAGTGCCCAGGCCAGGGTATTGTGTTCCCTGTCTGTGCTTGAGCGGCTGAATGAACAAGAGAGAGCAAGCACCCACAGAGAGGATAATGCCCTAAAGTCATCCTTGCAGTGAGAATGAATAATTCATACTGTATCTACCTCTTTCCAGCGCTTCCCAAAATAGCCGTTTTAATTGCTCATGTGTTGCGCTGCTGACTTTAACTCGGTTGCCTTCAGCTCAGAGCACTTTGGTGTTCCATGTTGACTTAACCAGTGAGGCTTCCCTTTGGAAGCAACATTCTATCCATTTTCTTTTTAGAAAGAAATCATGGAGGGATTAAAGGGAAAACCATTTTCTTTTCAGTTCTTCGTGGATCTCCTCTTTAACCAGTTCCAAATGACCTCTGTGATCCTAAAAGTGAAACAAGAAGAAATTAGATGGATAGGTAATGTAGATTTCCTGGCCCCATCAGTCTACCCTCTATGGTGTGATCAGCAAAGTCTTGGGAATCTACAGACTACAGAGTTTTGCCACAAGCCTATGAGAGAAGCCACGCATGCTTAAGTGGCAGAGCCAGAGAAGAGTGGGCTATCTAAGCCTTTTGGAGCCCAGTGGACTACACTACAAGCTCCAGATGCCCGACGTGGTGTAGGGTTTGATGTTTCCGCGGTGGGTTTTGGTTTTGCTTTAATGTGTGCTGGATAGTTTTTATTGTCAGTTTGACACAACCTGGAGTCGCATGAGAAGAGGGAACCACATTTGAAGAATTGCCCAGATCAGATTGGCCTGTGACCATGTCTGTGAGCGATTATCTTGATTGGTGGTTGATGTGGATGGGCCCAGCCCATTGTGCGTGTCAACCATCCTTTTTTAGGCCGGTGGGTCTGGAATGGATAAGAAAGCTAGCTGAACATAAGCCAGTGAGCAAGCCAGTGAGCAGTGTTTCTCCATGGCTGCTGCTTCTAGGTGTCTACCTTGGGTTCCTGTTCTGAATTTCATCAGTGATGGATTTCGACCTGGAAGCCAAATAAACCCATCCCTCATCAAGTTGCTTTTGGTCAGTGTTTTATCATAGCAACAAAGACGCAAATAGAACTGTGTGATTATTTTATTCCCCAACCCTTCCCTTTTGGATTAGGGATGTTTACTCTGTACCATTGTATGTTAGAAATGTATCACTTTGTTCTGATTTTATAGGTTTTATAGTTCACAGTTGAGAGACTTTGCACTTTTAAAGTCTTAGAACAGTCAATGAATTTGGGGACTTTTAAAGTCAGATTGTAGTCTATGTTATGAGATAAACATAAGACTTTGGAGACAAAGGATGGAAGGTTAGGGCTTTCAAATGATGGGTTTGAGTGTCAAGTTGACAAAAGGTGCAGTTGTAATGGCTAGTTTCGTTTTTTTCCTTTTTCTTCCTTATATAATTCTTTATTGATTCTTTAGGAATTTCACATCATGCACCCCAGTTCCCGTTCACCCCCCAGTTCCTTCATATCCACCCCTTGCCCCTGCAGCATGCTCCGCAAATTAGTTAAAAACGAAGCAAACAAAAAACCCACCTCGATCTTCTGTCGTTCCAACACCTCTTCACTCACCCTAGTGGCATCAGGAGCCACAGTGTGTCACCACCACCAGGTGTAATGGTCTTAATTGTCAGTTTGATGCTACATATTGCTACTGGTGAGAAGAGAGTCTCTGTGAGGAACTGTCTAGATTAGGTTGTCCTGTATGGTTGCTTTTATAAGGAGTTTCCTTTGCTCCAAGTGTCTTGAATATTTTAGTTATGTAAATTTATTTGGTAAGGGGTGCACTTGAGTACAGGTACCCTGAGAGACCAGAGGAATGGGACCTCCTTGGAGCTGGAGTTACAGGTGGTTTTGAACTGTCTAATATGGGTCTTTGGGTCCTCTGGAAGAGCAATATGTGCCAGTCACCACTGAGTTATTTCTCCGGTCACTATTTTCTTAATTCTGTTCACGAAAGTGAAAAGACCCACCACGAATATAGGCAGGACCATTTCTTGGGCTGGTGTCCGGATTGAATGAAAAGGAGAGCCAACTCAGTCCTAGCAAGCATGCTTTGTTCCATAGCTGTCTGATCTTGACTGCGGATGTCATGTGACCACTTATCTCAAACTTCTGCCACTGTGAGTTGGCTGCCATGACGCACAGTAACCTGGAGTAATCCCTTTCTCCTATAAGTTGCTTTCGTCAGGGTATTTTATCACAGCGACAGGCAAAGACAAAGGCAGGTGCTTGTAAGTGCTCCTGGGACTTTACTACCCACACACAGAATGCACAGTACAGTACAGAATACATAAGGTAGTACTTAAATCGCAACCACAGAGCTATACCCACTGCTTTTTAATTAATCATAATGCTTGTATCATACGTGTTAAAAGAAGAGGAAGGAGAAGGAGGAGGAGGTAGAGAAGAACTTGGATATTTATTGTTTGAGGAGGGAGGGTGTAGGGTCTGATGTGCCTCATGCTGGCCTTGAACTCACTGTGTAGCTGAGGTTGGCCTCCTAAGTATTGGGGTTACAGGTATGTGCCACTATGTGTGGTTAAACTGAGGTGTTGGTTTTAATTCACGCACCAACATGTAGAGAAACACTAAGGAATACATGTTCAATATCAAGCTCCAGTGTTCCTAAGACATGTTCAGAACTGATTCCTGTTGTCCATCTTCTCACCGACCTGCTGGTATCTGTGCTTTTAACCTTGTCCTTTGTGTTCCTGGCACGGCCTTGTTATCTGGCCCCTCACAGGAACTTGAGCTTTCTCTGCTGGGCTCCAGTGACTGCCTGGCACTGTTAACCTACTTTCAGGTCCTGCGCTAGGAATGTTGCTAGACAGGTCTGCCCACTGCCTCCTCCACCCTCTCCACAGCCTGTGACTCCTAGGAGTTGAAAGAGCTGCACTCTTACCTGTGGGATCTTATCCCGAGCCTGTGACAGCCATTCCACCAGGGGCTGTGCTGGTGTCATTGGTACCTGTGCTCACATGGGCGGCTGTTTCTTTGAGGATGCAGCCTGGCTGACAGTGGTGGCACGGTGCCAGCGTTAGTCATAAACAGTTCCAGAGATGCTGAGTGTGCTTTTTAACATGGGCATGTCAGAGTCGATGGGATGGAATGCAATGGAAGGGCCGTGGGCAAGCCCTGGTCCTTTATGAGCTCCGTGGAGCTCAGCTTCTTTTTTCACTGTTTTTCCATTGGCTGACATGCAGGTGTCTGCCTCACAGAATCACTGTGAAGATAGGGCATTATTTGTTTTCTGCACAGTGCATATAGTCCAATGCTTGCACTTAATTGGCCTTGAGAACAAATATTTTTGTTGTCGTGAGGGAGGCATCTATGTACATGTGTATGTCCAGGTGTGAGTTCCGGAAGGAAGTGGGCTAAAAGATGCCCTTCCATTGCTCTCTGTCTTTTTCTCTTGAACTAGCATCTCTCACTTTACCTGGAGCTACCCATTTCACAGCTAGGCTGACGGCCACCAAGCCTCAGCAATAGCCCCTCCTGTTCACCCTCTCCCTCAACACTCACCTTGTGGACCCGTGCAGCTACATATGAGTGCTAGGGACGCACACTCAGGTTCTCATGTTTGCCCAGCAAGCACTCCTACCCACGGGGCCATCTCTCCAGCTATTTGTTCTCCTTTTTGAAGTAGGATCTTTCTGCTCAGCACATGTTGGCCTAGAATTTATGCCAGTCCTCCTGCCTCAACCTCCTAGATACTGGAACTACAGGAATGCACCACCACACCAGGCTTTAAAATGTTTTAATTATAGGTTACTCCATTTCAGTCTCACAATGCTCTCTACCTTTGGGAGAGGCAGTTACTAGAGTTACAGAGGCAATGCCACAAAGAGGGCCTTAGAGATGTCACATTCCAGCTTCCTCACTGCCCAGAAAAAGTGGGTGTTGGACTGAAGACAGAGGGTTCAAACTCAGATGTCACTCCTGTGTCAGGGCTCCACCTGGATCACGCCAGCATGGGGGAGGCCCTGGGAAGGTGGGGTCGCAGAGACGGCACTGGGGCCCCATTTTCTTCTTAGAGGATCAGTTTCTCAGGTGGTGAGACTAGAGTGGGTTAGCAATCAGATACATTCTGGAATGGCTGTGTTTCAGGGACTAATGAAGGGCTATGGTCTCGGCTCTTACTGCTTAGGGGGTATCTGGATGACTGGTTCCTTGGAAACTCAGTTCACGGCCCCAAAACCATCAAAGCCAGGGGCCCAGCATCCCTGAATCCCTGGGTCAGAAAAGAAGATGATGGCCGTTCTTGCCAGGGGCTGTAACACCAGATGCTCCGATGAATCATTGTCAGGCACGAATTCATTTTGGGGAGCAAGTTCTGGGGAAACTGAGGTTCCAAGATGGGGGAAGGAATGAGCTTAGATGTCACAACTAGGAAGGATAAGCCAGGTGGTTGCACATAGAACTTCTGTAACCTAACTCCCCATCTGGGCTGGGGCTCTATGAGGGGCACCAGGGAGGGATGTCAGGAACACCAATCTGCTATGGTGTCTGGCCTTCAGGAGACAATTCTCCAAAGAGGTTCCCTGCCAACCACAGATCTTCATTCTCTGTCAATGTGCCTTGGAAATGCTGTTTACACTATTCCCTGGAAACTGTGCTGAAGCCAAACCCAGCACCAGGCTGACTTGATCTCTTAGTGTCAAGTATGTTATGGCCCTCAAGCAGGTTCCTGGGTTTTCATCTCAGCTCTGCCTCTGGACCCCTAGATGGGATGGCTCTAGGCAAATCTCTCTCTCTCTCTCTCTCTCTCCCTCTGTCTCCCTCTCTCCCTCTCTCCCTGGTTTTTCAGTAAAATCTGGGCCATTCATTTGTCAAATCCTTTTTAGTTCTAACTTTCTTTAATAAAACTACTTCAATGGCCTAACTTAGACATTAGTGAGGTAAATAAATAGCAAATAACTCATGTTTATTGACCACTCACTGTGCACCCGTTGTCTTGTTTGGCCCATGAAGCCCCCTGTGAGGGTCTGAATGACACTTACCTACAAGGGTCGTTATGGAAATGAAGAAACAGCTGCCAGTGCACAGCCAGGGTTCAATAAGTGTATTTTCTTCCTTGTATTGCAGATGTGCTTTTAAGTATCTTGCCCACGGCCAGAGAGCTAGGATTCAAACCCAGGGAGTCCAGAGTCCTGTGTTCTTAGCTGACATTTACAGTGTCTCTTGCGTGATAAGGTACACGAGCATTGCATTAAGAACATCGGGGGACCGAGTGCCGCAGAGGTACCTGCCCCCCACAGCACACTTGCTCCCACATTCAAGACGCAGAACCGTAGTGAACAAGTCACACCTGCTGGTGGAACTGGGCCGGCAGGCTGTCCATGCCTGTTGTCACTCCTGATTGCCACAACAGTAGTCTGAAGTCCTACTAGCAGGTGATACACAGACAGGGCCCCACACACAGATTCACCTGTCAGTTTGCAGGTCATCAGGGAAGGAGCACAGGCATATTAATACTGGCATGGCCGTGAAGGAAGGGAATAGTCATGTGATTCAGGAAACTAGGCTGGGCAGAGTGAAGAGATTTGCAGGAGGTGAGCCACGGGTTTGTGGGGTGCAGCCTGAAGTCAGAGGGAGAATGGTGGAAGGGACAGTCTGGAATCTTCCCCGTCGCTCTTTTCCCTCTTCCTGTCCTTGGAAAGGAATTCCAGGAGCGGGAGTGACTGAGCCAAGAGGCGCCTGGGTAAACCAGCCAAACCGGAGAAGGGCCCTTGGGAGACTCTGGGGTCTGAAAAGAAAAATGTAGACACAGCTGTTTGGAGAGCAGAGAACAGGAGAAAGGGAAAGAGAGGTGTTTCAGAGAAACAGGGACACCGGCCTTCCCAGGGCAAATGTCGTCACCTCCAGAGACAAACACAGAGAGCCAAGTTCCAAACACCTGCCGTCTCTCAACTTGTCTGCTTTAATTTCTGGTGGAGGGTGGGGGAGATGGTACATGCGGATTCCACAGTGTGCAAAGGTCAGAGTGTAATTCCCAGGAGCCGGTTCTCTCCTGCCTCCTTGTGGGATCCGGGAATCCATAGAGAGAGAGAGAGAGAGAGAGAGGGAGAGGGAGAGGGAGAGAGAGGGAGAGAGAGAGAGAGAGAGAGAGAGAGAGAGAGAGAGAGAGAGAGAGAGAGAGAGAGAGAGAGAGAGAGAGAGGGAGAGAGAGAGGGAGAGGGAGGGAGAGAGGGAGACTTTAGTCCTCAGGAAGAAAGGCACTGGGGTGCAGTACAAGGCTTCTCATAGCTATTTGAGCCTGAGAAGTTCTTTTGCTGTCGTTTCCACACTATTGTGGAAATCAGGGTATATAAGCTAACACACAGCAGCTAATAGTGTTCATGTGCTAGACAGTCTTCTCCAAAGAGGTCATTGCTCTGAGCAGTCTCCTCTTATGCAGAAGGAAACAAAGCCAGGAGGTGAGAGTTGATGCCTATGTAGACAGATGTAGAACCCGGGCTACTGTTGCCAGAGCCTGTGAGTTGCTGCAGATCACCCGGGGTAAGAAATGCTGGTGGGCCGGTGATGGTGGAGGCTCGTGTGTTAAGGATGTAAGCTGTAGGGTGACCCAGTTCCCACAGTGCACAGGAACCTCTCCAGGGATCACATCACCAAGGCACACAAACGAGGGCCTGTTACCTGCAAAGCCTGTGCTCATCACTTTCTATGGGTCGCCTTATTGTACAGCCACGCCACACTTACAAGATTGGAACTTGTCATGTGTTGCATGAAGGAAACACCCTTTAACAAGGTTACCTAACACAACTGCAGCTTTACCAAGGCAGAGCATGAGGTTCAGCCCAGCCTTGAATTCCTGACCCTCTGTGGATGACATCCCCCTTGCATCCTCCTAGACCATGAAGCTGCCCACCTTTGTCTTGACTTGGTCCTTTGCCCGAACTGTTCACACCCAATAACTGTCCGTCCTTTCCTCCCCTTGGCTTCTCACATGTCTCTGACTTACCTTGTCACTTATCCCTACATCCTTTAATTATCTGTGGTTCACTGCCTCAGGGAGTGTCGTGGCCACATCTCCCATTGTGGAATGTCACAGAGATCATTCCCCCGTTGTTTGAAGTGAGAACCTTGCGTGTCTCCCTAGCCACACAGTGCTCTGTAGGGCAGAAACAAGCCTTCTTCATTCTGCTTCGATGGCACTGGCCCGTGGGGCCTCCTCCTGCTTGGTGGGTTCACTGAAATGAGAGGAGAGACTTAGCACAGAGAACAAAGGGTGTGACCTGAAGTCCCCCACCAGCAGCCCAGAACCCCAGCACACTGCACCCAGCCTCACCTTCCTTTCGTTCCTCAAAGGCGCCAGGACCACCCTGACCCACAGAATTCCTAGCTTGCTACTTCCTACCCTCTGAGTGCCCTTCCTAGAGACTTCTTGTGACCACCAGCTGCCCTCTGTTCGCCAGCACGTTGATTGTTTTTTTTCCTGAATGCCCTCGATTTTTTCTCTCTTTTCTGAATGCTTCTCGCACTCATGCGAGAGAATCTCTGGGACATTTGCTAATGATCTGGAGTGTCTTCTACCCTACTCTAGCAGGGAAGTGCCCTGTTGTCTTGTTCCCTTGTGTGATTGTTTCATTAAAGCTCCCAAGAGCCACACTTAGCCCTCTCAGCAGGCTTTGTGAGACGGTTATTTTTGTCATCCTTGTGTTGTTAGAGGAATCAGTAAAGGTGTTAGCACTGAACCAAATTAAGGGAAGGGAGGAGGAAGACTTTCAAACTTGAGGGAAGGGCCTGCTTAGAAACTGGCCAGAGGGGGAGAGTGTTATCAAGAGCCTAGCCTTCTAAACTATGGGAACTATGTATGTGAAACAGCCCAGGGCAGGAAAAACCAGCCTGCCCATTGATTGTTCTTGGATTGGGGTAAGGGGCTCTACACTGTGGTTCCTCCCAGCTAGCCCTTGGAAAGAGAGAGCCAAAGAGACGAGAGGGCCGTGTTCTCCTGGATAGTCATGAAGAGGGAAACTTAGGCTTGCCCAGGCGACACGGGGAACGTGGAAGATGGCTTACCCGTTCTGAATTTTGTCCCCAGAGAATCACAACCCAGTTTTACACTTGACAAAAAAAAATTGCCTGCTTCCCCGCCTTCCTGCCTCCCGAGAAAAGACACCACGGAATACTCAGTGCAACTGTGGCCACGGTACCCCCAGAGCCTTACCCTCTAGGAAAGCTACAGCTTGCTGCGTGAGGAAAGGGAGGGACCTGTTGGTGCCTCTAGATCTCGAGCTGCTTGACAGGTGTGCCTGTGTCCCCCTTGTAGAGTGCACCTGGCAGAACCTTACCTGTCTCCAAGGCAACACATCCGGGCTGTTTTTCCAGGAAGACCAGTTGTGAAACATTCAGGAATGTGTGTGCTCATTCAGAGATTTGTGATTAAAAAGGGGCAGAACTCGCTCTTGCCTGGCACCTCGCCCTGCTTCCCTCTTGCTCCTTCAGAAGCTGGGTCATTTGATTGTGTGACTGGGGCTTTAGACAGCCCAGGACATGGGCCTGGAAGGGTTGAGGCTGGAAGTTCCAGATTCTGGACACCTCTGAAGGTCTGAAGGCAGGTACCCCCTTCTCAAGGTGGACATCGGGGAGCAATCCAGCTCCTGGGGATGAATAGCATCCACAGAAAGCTCTGCTTCTCACTAGGAGTGTGTGTGTGTGTGTGTGTGTGTGTGTGTGTGTGTGTGTGTGTGTGTGTGTGTCCATCCCGCTGTCTGCAGGGCTAAAAAACTTCTCTTCATACTGATTCTCTGAATGACACCTCTCGGCACACTGAATAATTCATCTCCCTCTTGGCATTTGTTCCAAAGAGAACTTTCTGTCCAGATTTCTGTAAGTTGTATAGTTCCTCCCCATAGCAACGTTCCTGTTTCCCATAGAAGCACGCCGAGTATCAGCTGGCTTCTCCCTCATGGCTGCATCCAGGGGGGAACCCCAATACAAAACCAAATCCTTTCTTTCTCTTCTGGCTGCTCTTTCTGATGCTCTCCCCACCGCCTTGCTGTGCATTCCTTCCTGTTGGGTAAAATATCTGTAGCCACTGCTGGCAGGAATCAGTATCTTTTTCTCGTGTCTATCATAGTATCAGTGCTACAGCTCACAATCAAAGAGCGCCACCTTCTCAGTGCAAGGCTGGAGCAATATGTGGCATTCATGAGTTCTGGAAACTTAATGAAGTTTGGGTCTTGTTCTCCTATCTACGTTCTCATCCCCGGTACCTTAAGAGCCCGAATTTGTACTGATGGCTTGGAAATGTTTAACAGTTCTTATGTGTAGGAGCCATGAACTTTCTAGGTTTAATGAGCAGCTTGGTACCAAGACACCAATAACTGAAATCATTCATCACATAGAACTCTAATACCTCTTATCTGCTTCCCTCCTCCCCATACAGTCTCCTCTTCTGTACTTCTAGCTCAACTCCAAATTGTTCTGAGACCCGAAGGGTCTTGTTAATTTTTATTGGCAAAGCTTTGGCTCTGGGATCTAGCACTTGGAGCCTCGGGAGATGGAGCCTCTGGTGTATTAGCTATGCATTGTTAAGAATGTGCTTTCATTTGTAAAATCGAACAAGAACACCTACTACCCAGAGAGGGTACATGGTTTTCGTAGCACGCTCTGTAGGCCTAGATAGAATCATTGTTCAATATTTAATTATGCTTACTATAGAACCATTGCAGCAAGCTTAGTTTAAAATAAAAGAAAAAGAAAATTTAAACTATGTTAAATTTTTTATAACTAGGGTTTTTTGTTTGTTTTATTTTGTTTTAAGTTAAGTTACTACTATATAGCTGTTGTTAAAATGTTTAGGTTTATCCAGTAAGGAGACACAGACCGCGACTCAACGATCCCACGTGGAGTTTATTGGTGGACAGGGAGGGAAAAGGGGGGTGAGAGGTAACCAACCCGTGCAGAGCAGAGAGAGAGAGATAAGAGAGAGAGACAGAGTAAGAGCAAGAGAGGAAGAGAGGAAGAGAACAAGAGAGCGTAAACGGGCAGGGGTCAGTCCTTTAAAGGGGTCCTTTGCACCTGCCTGGTTCTCACGGAACTCTGGGCTGGCCAGAGTGTTGCCTGAGCGCATCGTGCCAGGTAACAGGGCAGGCCAGAGTAATGCCTGAACCTTTCATTCCCACCTTTATTTATGATTAAAAAGAGATGCAGGCCAGAGTAATGCCTGAACCTTTCATTAGCCCTGGATGGCCTGGACCTCACTGTGTAGACCAGGTTGGTCTCAAACCTACAGAGAGCTCTACCTCTGCCTCCTGAGTGCTCACATTAAAGGCTTATACTACCACACCTGACTAGACTTTTTTTTAATAAGTCTAGTCTCATGTAGCCTAGGCTAGCTTCCAACTTGCAGAATAGCCAAGGTTGGCCTTGAACTTTAGCTCCTCCTGCCTCCTCTTCTGGAATTACAGGTGTGTGTGCCCATACTCAGTTGTATGTGGTGCTAGGTGGGACTCAGATCTCTGAGCATGCTAGAGACAAGTACTCTATCTACCGAGTTATATCCCTAGCCACAAGACAGCATTTTAACTAGTATCTTTCAGTTTCTCCTCACCTCTCCCTTCCTGTCTCAGTAAGAGTTTTCATTGCTGTGAAAAGACACCATGACCATGGCTACTCTTACAAAGAAAAATTTAATTGGGGTGATTCGCTTGCAGTTTCAGAGGTTCAATCCATTATCATCATGGTGGGGAGCATGGCGATGTGCAGGCAGACATGATGTTGGCTGCATCTTGACTTGCAGGAAATAGGAAGTCGACTGATACACTTGGTGGTATCCTAAGCATAGGAAACCTCAAAGCCCACCCCCACCGTGACTCACTTCCTCCCAACAAGGACATAACCATTCCAGCGAAGTCACACCACCCAATAGTGCCACTCCCTGAGATTATGGGGGCCAATTACATTCAAACTACCACACTTCCCTCCCCCCTTCTCTCTTCCTCTTCCTTTCCAGCTCTCTTGAGATTATTATGGCCTTTTAACCAGGTGTATTATTGTAAACCTATAATCGTAGCACTTAGGAGGCTAGGGGCAGAAATACCAAAAGTTTGAGGCCAGCCTAGGTTACATAGTGAATCCTGTGTTAAAACAAACAAACAAATGAAGAGACTATTACAGCCTTTTTAGCCCCAGTTTCCCCTTCTGTGTGTTTACATGTGTATGGGTACACTTATGTACATAGGCCCAAGGCTGATTGATATCAGGACTTGTCCTTGATCACTCTTCTACCTTATTCTTTGAGAGAGACTCTGTCAATCAAATCCAAAGGTTGCCAATATACATAGTCTCACTAGTGACATTGCTCTAAGAATCCCTTGCCTCCACCTTCCAAAGCTGAAACTATACCTGAACTACCACACTCACCTTGCATTTTGTGGGTTCTGGGGAGCTAGACTCTGATCATCTTACAAACACTTTCACTGCTGTGCTGTCCCCCACAGCCTTTGAACTACATATTTTAGCTCCAAACATGATCGTGTTTAACCTATCCAACAACCTGAAGAGTTATATTAGTCTCTACTTCTCAGATGAAAAAATCCGAGACTCTGGGAGATTAAGTTCTTGTCCAACTCACTCAGCCAAAGAACAATGCTTCTTGAATGCTTATTTGATAGTTCTTAGTTTGTTGCATACAAAAACATACCCCTGGCCCCAGACTCATGGAAGCACAGTCTCCCACAGTGCAGCAGTGAATTATTAACCAAAGCCAATTGGTAGATACAGTTCACGGCCTCTGAAGCCTTGAGTGTGAAGCAGGCAGGTAAGCACACCACTGTCCTGTTGGTCGGGGACTTTGTCAGTGTGACAGTGTCTCTTTGTCCCCGTGTCCTTTTTAGTTTGGTTTAGATTGTGCTGTTAGTCAGCTTCCCATCTCTATCAAATACCTGCAAAGGTGAGCTTACAAAGCGCAAGGGTTCATCATAGATCACCATATTAGGGGCTTTGATCTATAACTGAGCGACTTTCTTGCCTTGAGCTTGTGGTGAGGCAACAGATCTTGACAGGAGCATGCGACAGAGCACAGCTGCTCATTGTATGGCCAGAAATCAAGAGATGGAAAGAAAAGGCTGGGGTCCCACTCTCTCCCCTTCAGAGGCGCACCTCTAGTGATCGGAGGACCTCTTCTTGAGTCTCACCTCCTAAGGGCTCCAGCCTGGGGCCAAACCTCTGACACACAAGCCTGGGGCTGCTGTTTAGGAAGACATCATCCAGGCTAAGGAAGAGACAGTCAGTCATCACCCTTCCTGTCTCATAGTAACCCAGCTTGCCAATCTGTTGAAGGGGTGTGAAGCAGAGTCTTCTGGACTTCCTGCATTAGAATGAGGAAAAAGACAGGAACAAAGGGATATTAGAATGAGTGTCTTAGGGTCAGAAAGATGGCTCCATGGATAAAAACGCTCCCTGTACAACACCCACCTGAGTTTGTTCTCAGAAATCCAGCAGTGGCACAAATCTGCAATCTCCTGCTGCAAGATGGGAGTCAGAGACAGAAGGATCACACAATAGCAGAAAACAAAAGAGACTCTGTCATAGGCTAGATATGACAACCAAATATTGTCCTCTGACCCCCACATGGGCCTGACAGCTAGCATGTGGCTATTCTAGACAAAGGCAGCACTGGGAATACTTGGAAGTGGCTGTCTTAGGGAACCACTGATCCCACGTGTTAGCTTCCCAGCTTCCTGTTCTGTGGCTGAAACCCTGGACAAATGCTGTGTGGTACAGTTTTCCAGCCTTGACAAGCCTTTGCTGCTTCAGTTGCATGATTTGTTTATCTGTCTGATTTAGCCACTAAGACTTGGTGATTACCGCCGGTTCACACCCCGTGAGATGGGGCCTTAGGGAGTTATTATTGCCAAATAATCAGTTCGGCCAGGGATGGCTGAGAAGAGCCAGCAGTGGGTGCAGGCGTTTGGGAACCAACTCAATCAGCAAATAAATATGGCTCGCTGGCCAGACTCCTAGGGCTGGGGCGTCTGTTTCTCTAGAGCTTGCAGGAGGCCAGCTTTTCGAAGGGCAAATGGGCATGACAAATAGAAGACAAAGCCAGGACAAAGACCAGAGTGGGGTGGGCCAGCCAGCTGCAGGTGGAAAAGCCAGAGGGGGCTGGACTCCAAGTCACGAAGCCAAGACTTGGCCTTAGAACTGTTGTGCAGACTGTCGATTGGAGACGCAGACACTCAAGGTCCAGGCGGAAAGATGACTTTCTGAAGTCACTACCAAGTTAGTGGTAAAATGTTAGGACCAGAATACATTCTCTGCCTCCCTCCTGGGGTAGCCTTACATGGATGCTACTGCAGAATGTCTTCACCTTCCCAGGAACTCAGGGCCATCAGAGGCAATGCTATAGTGCAAAATGTCTGGATCTGTTAACAGTCAGGAGAAGCAGGGTGTCCAGGAAAAACAAAAAAAACAAAAAAAGACACATTGCAGGAGTGTTGGGGACTGCAGTCTGATGGAATGTGTTTCTCGTCTTCCTTGCCAGGTACACCAAACCACTTACCTTTGCTGACTGCATTAGCGATGAGTTGCCGCTAGGATGGGAAGAAGCATAT